AAGTTGTTAAAACATGTGGTCGAGATTGACTTAGAAAAAATGAATTTTAAGTGGCCAACATGTGTTTAACTTGTTGTCATACATGTAACGTTACATGGACGATTGAACATCACTGAGGTAGAGGGTCGTGTCGTGGTAAGGTTTTGTGCCGGAGAAACTTTTGACTAATATTTTTGTCGCGGAACTTTGCTTCAAGTATCGTCAAAACGGTAATTTTCGAGCTCAATTTCACGTTAACTTTCTGTACCAAACAACAAATCCAAACTGCTCCACCACACAACCAGTATATTCACCTCGATTGCTTCTCAATCTCACCCACAAAGGACAAGATAACAGTAATGATTTGTAACCACAAATGCAAGAAGGAAAAACAATAAAAGAAAAGCACAAGAGGGGAGCAATAACTCAAAGTTAATTAACAACCTGTTTTTGCTAGACAAAGACAACTGATTTTTCTCTCTCAAAGGATAATAGTTAGACCAATAAGAGGTTAAATGTGTCAAGATTTAAAGTCATTAAAGAGGTAATATATATGGACCGTGAGCAACATTAATTGTTCAAATCGCTTCCAACTGCCCACGTCATTTTTTGGTTGAGCCTTTGAACTTGGTTGTTGGTAACAATTTAATTCAACGTTTACATCATAACCCAGTATTCATTGGATATCAAAACCCAACAATTGTGACTCAACTCTGCCAAGAAAATGAAGGAAATTGTTACGGGTGAAATGTCATGTTGCTTAAATATGAGAATAATAATTCACAGCTACTCTTATCAGTAATCTTTTAAAGAAAGAGCTCCAAGACATAGTACTTAATAACGAAGATTTTGAAAATGAAAAGAATGTCATGTGGTATCATGTATCCAAAAACTCTAAGGAGTAATCACATCCGTTTAAAGTTCAAACAAAATATCATTTTGTAAGAAAGATTTGAGATAAAAATCTACATGACATAAATGCGAAAACAATAATCAACGTATAAGAGTCTTAACCTTTTCTTTTCACAAAGTTAACTAACTCAAGATTCAATAGAAATCATATCATAGTTTAATTCACACACAAATATATATAGAGTACATATCCATGATGGAAAATTTAGAAGGAATTTTTTTTTGTCCTTCCTTAATATGAAATCAGTATTCATTAAACTCCAACGAGCAAATTGACCTAATTAAGACTAAAAAATGAGCATATAGATTTTAAAATTGGTCTGTTTAAAAAATCAACCATCTTGTGGGGACAAACATAGACCAACATATAAGAACTTGAACTGCTGTTATTTTTAAAATTGCTCTTTTGAGATGGAACTTAAGTCTTAATAACACACACCTATATATACAGAGATTTGTAGGGCAGATATATAGAGACACTGAGAGAGAGAGAGAGAGAGAGAGAGTACTATAAAAGGCCTACCGTTCATTCTATTAAGTTCAACCTCCACTTGCTCTGGATGTGGCATTTACTATTCATGACCCTACCTGCACTTTGACGTTTGGGACTTGTTTTGATCAAGCCCACAATTTTTTTTTTCCAGAAGATGAGAAGACCTTAAAAAGTCTTGATCTGGCTGGCTGGCTGTCTTTATTATAACTTATTATCTGATTTTAACAGCAACACGGCAATAAGATTTAATGCTGCCCAGTATTATCTCTTTAGCCCCCGTTTGGTTTTAGCTAAAAATATTGATTTTTAGTAGATTTTGATAAAAGTTGGTGAAATACGTGATTAAAAAGTTGTTAAAACATGTGGATCCCAAGAAATGTGAGATCGAGAATGACTTAGAAAAATTGAATTTTAGGAGGCCAACACGTGTTTAATGTGTTGTCATACATGTAACCGGTATGTAGATTTAAATCTCGAATCTATTGAGAAAAATATGAATTCATATACGCAAATCCACTATCAGTATGCAAAAGAAAATGTTACAGTGACAAAATGCAGAAGCAATTAATTAAAAGAGACCCCCCCCTTCCGGGCTCAATTTCACGTCATCTTTCTCTACCAAACAACCAATTCAAATGACTCCAACACACAATCAAGCTCGATTGCTTATCAATCTCACCCACAAAAGACAAGATAACGGTGATGATTTGTAACTACAAATGTAAGAAGGAAAAACAATAAAAGAAAGGCACAAGAGGGGAGCAATAACAGTCAATAACCGATTTTTGCTAGACAAAGACAACCGATATTTCCTCTCTCAAAGGCCACACGTTTTTCTCCTTTCAAACACACAAATCATACACTTAACGGATAAGACACAGACACCATATATATGTGTGTGTGTGTGTGTGTGTTAGGTAAACTTTAGTTAAACCAATAAAATGTTAAATAGGTCAATATTTAAAGCCATCAAAGAGGTAATATATATGGACCGTGAGCAACATTAATTGTTCAAACTGCTTCCAACGACCCACGTTATTTTTGGATGGAGCTTTTGGATTTGGTTGTAGGTAACAATTTAATCCAACGTTTACATAAGAACCCAGTATTCATTGGATATCAAAACCCAACAATTGTGACTCAACTCTGTTAAGAAAATGAAGGAAATTGTTACAGGTGAAATGTCATGTTGCTTAAATATGAGAATAATAATTCACAGCTACTCTTATCAGTAATCTTTTAAAGAAAGAGCTCCAAGACATTGTACTTAATAACGAAGATTTTGAAAATGGAAAGAATGCCATGTGGTATCATATATCCAAAAACTCTAAGGAGTAATCACATCCATTTAAAGTTCAAACAAGATATCATTTTGTAAGAAAGATTTGAGATAAAAATCTACATGACATAAATGCGAAAACAATAATCAACGTATAAGAGTTATAACTTTTTCTTTTCACAAAGTTAGTGAACTCAAGATTCAATAGAAATCATATCATAGTTTAATTCACACACAAATATATATAGAGTACACATCCATGATGGAAAATTTAGACGGAATTTTTTTTTGTCCTTCCTTGACTCCGCTCCTACATATACGTACTCGACTACTCGTATATGGAGTTCAGGTTCGTCATCTCAAAATATACGAGAACATTTGTTTTCAAGAATCTATGCACGTNGTGGGGATGACCCATTTCAAGTCATCAAGAAATCAACGATAATGCCTACAAAGTGGATCTCCCAGGTGAGTATAATGTTTCAGCTACATTTAATGTTCCTGATCTATCTCTGTTTTATGCAGGTGCAGATTCAAATACGAATCCTTTCGAATAGGGAGGGGATGATATGATCCAAGGTGCCATCAAAACGAGGACAAGTCCAGGGAATGATCCATTGCTAGTGAAAGACGGACCGATGACTCGATCGAGGACAAAGCAAGTGAAAGATGGGATGACATTGCTCGTTCAAGCTACGGTTGACGATATGGCAATCATGACGAAGAATGGATCGAGCAAGTTCCATGTTGGGGTCGAGGTCGGAATCGGGATGGATCAACTTAATAAAAGCACGAAAGAAGGAGGCGAAATGGGTAACTATGTGACCGCATAGTTACTCAATCTATGCGGTCGCATAGCGAATTACCGAAACTGATTGGGGTCGAACTGAAGACTCACCGCAAGCCAGATGCCTATGCGGTCACATAGAGCAAATTCTGGCCAAATTATTTCATTTTTTTGCATTTTTTCTTTATTTGAAAGAATCATATGTTTAGTTAATCTCCTACCATATTCATGAGAGTAACTATGCGGTCGCATAGCGAATTACCGAAACTGATTGGGGTCGAACTGAAGACTCATCGCAAGCCAGATGCCTATGCGGTCACATAGAGCAAATTCTGGCCAAATTATTTCATTTTTTTGCATTTTTTCTTTATTTGAAAGAATCATATGTTTAGTTAATCCCCTACCATATTCATGAGATTATGCACGTTTTTTACCTAGTTTCTAGGGATTGGTATAAATACCAAAAACTTTTATTGTATTAGGACCTTTTGACAAATTGTTAATTAAGATGCTATTGCTTTCCTTGTTCTTCCATCAAACAATCAATCGAACTTATCAAAATCTAAATCTTGTGGGTTTAAACATCGGATGATAGGTTCTTCATTGTGTAATCAAGGGGTTCAACGCTTCGTCGTTATCGTTAGGTTTTTGTGGTTCACCTTGTTGGGTTCAAATCCACGTTCTTGGGTTCCTCATCACTGTAGTTGTGGGTTTCGTAGTCACCGTTGTTACGGGGCTCGCATCAACAACGTTCAAAAAACGTTGCCGTAGGTCTACGACAACGTTTGAATGTGTGTTGCAAATCGAGGTGTTGTCGTAGAGTGGAAAGAAAAAACGTTGCCGTAGGCCTTTCGTAACTTTTTTCAACGTTGAGAAATACAGTTAAAAAACGTTGCGAAAGGTCCATGGCAACGTTTTCTGAACGTTGCATTAGGTTTTTTTTTTTTTTACGGCAATTTATGCAAATTGATTGGCAAAATTGAAAATGTATTTTAAGAACAAATTTTGAAAGAACATAAAAATTGATAATTTCATTACAAATTTTTAAATTTATACACTTGAACATTAAAATGTGATATAAGGCCAATTAAATAAAAAGAAGCTTCAAAATGAAATAAAATTACAAGGGAAAAACTCAATCATAAATGGAACACACAAACTACTCTCTTTTTTATTT